ATTTTAAATTCATTTTTTATACTTATATCTTATACGCTATTTTATACTCTAGAATTTTGATGTATGTAGTACATATATTGATAGATTTTGATATGAAACAAATGCGGTACCCTACAATAGATCTATGTTATTACGCATTTGAGGATTATGGATGGTGACGTACTCGTATGTACATATTGATAGATTTTTGAGATAAAACAAAGCAGTACCCTTCAATAGATCTATGTTATTACGCATTCTAGGATTATGGATGGTGACGTCGAAAGCTTTTTTGTATCCGTTTTATCAGCGTCTGTTAGTCATTTGACATATCACCGCAAAAAATATCCATATGTGTGTGATATCGCGATGTTGGAGGGCGAAACACCCGATACAACCGTGGACCAACATTAACATTGATAACGTACCTGCGCGCTTTTTATAAAAACAAAAATTGGATTTCGATTAGCAAGATAGATTCTATCATAATATCGATTCGATGCTACATTATGTTGAAGTCGGTCGGTACAGTTTCAAATATTTGCGGTTTCAAAACAATATCTCTGCGGGAACGGACGCTTATCTTACTTTAGTTTCTAATTTGAATTTTATTCACTCATTACCTAATTTTTAGCGTCAGAAGAGCAGTTGACGAACTACGTAACCGCCCGCATAGAATTTTTATCAAAAGTTTCTGTAGTAATAGATAATCATATTATATAACTGAATGGCCCAAATGAAGCTGTTATACCAGAACAAAACAGATTTTACACGTTCTTGTTTAGACTCTTAATACCTCGTTAATATGCTCTCATGGATTTCAAAACTTTCATACAAAAATTACGTTTTCAAAACTTATTAGTAATTTCAGTGTTCTAACAAATGTTGTATAAACGTATAAATACGCAGTATCTTCGCTAAAAGTATCAATAACTTATGGAATATTCAAATGAATGATCGTGATTCAATATTTGCAGAACTCATATAAGGTGACCCAAACAATCTGAGAAATTCAAGGCGAAATTCTTGGCTAATAAGTCTAGACATTGTTTTGTATCTACATACAAGGTGACTCAACAATCAGTGTGGTGTTCCTATAGCAGGAAATACATTAAACATACTTGTAATTATTATAAGCACGTTTTAAGTGCTCTCTTGCCAAAATATTGGCGTGTTGTATAATTACTTTATCTCAAATAAATAAACCATATGTTCTCCAAAATATTTGATCTAATATTCCACATTTTTGGGCGAAATATATTAATAACCGATCGAAACACAAAATACGAAAAACACACACAATCCACACAGGTATTTAATCGGAGAACATTTTTATATCCTGATTGTTTTTGGGTCGCCCTGTATCAAATCATCCTCATCGCGCATCCCACATGGATAATGTATGTGCCACCCACATTTGTTTTCACTCTTTTTGGGCAACACATAAAAAAGACAGGAATAGCTTTCTTATTATGAAGAAATCATCAATATTAATGAGTTATTTCGCTACATAATTACTGTCAAGTGTTTCGAGAATACAAGCGAATCGTATTTCGCTGAGACAGATGAATAAAATTTACGCATTGTTTGGTCGTTGATCCAGAGAGACCGTGGTGCCAAGTTGGACAATGAATTCAAATTTGATTGTCAGTGTTTTAAGTTTCATTATTCCCATTCACAAAGTTGTATTTTTGCAATTTAATAGACTTGTCAGAGAGACATTCGGTATTCTTTACCACATATAGCAAAAATAAAAGGGTAATATTATACTCCTGTTTTCAAATTCCCCGCTATTTTCCATTTACGTCACACTTTGGTCCGATCCGCACGGGTATTACGCAGGGATGTTCCGACATGCACAATTGTGCATATTATGCACAATTTTACGAACATATGAACAATATGCATCCCCCACACAAAATATGCACAGTCGCCAATAAATAAAGTGCATTTTTTTATACAAAACTGGCAATGAATTTTCTTAGCAGCTGCATGAACGACTGAAATGTACTGTTAGACACCGTCCCGGTGATTGTTCATAATTGATGGCCTTGGTTAAATTTAATAAATAAATATTTTTTTATTGTATTATTTTCTTTAATTCGCATTAAACAATAAAAAGGTTCCATGAAATTTAAGTTTTTTTTAAATTGGCGTTTGCGCCAGAAAATCAGTATACATATATGCACATTTTTAAAGAAATGTGCTCTATTTCTATTAACATCTTTGCACAATTCAAAATCCTTCGAGAACAACACTGGTATTACGTATCTTGAAAAGTGACATTATGCCGATTTTTTTTTACATTATGTAGGTTTTTCTACAAGTAGTCTAATCATATTAGACGAAAATACCCTTGGTTTGTGAAATAATTGTAAAGTCTGGTCTTATTGCTGCAAGTTGTTCAAAACATGGACGCATGAAATGGGTACAAAAACTCTTCATATAAGATTTTTAGGTATTTATGAGACCTACAAAAGAAGACCACATGTAAAAGGATCCGACTCAGCAAAAAAAATATGGCCGCAAACCGAGGGAAACTGCAGGTTTTGGAACTTGATGGTAATGCGATGGTGGTTTCTTGCAGATATTTGAAATTCTTCAAATTCGTAGGATTCGTACTTCTAAATAACCACAAGAAAATTGGAGTAGATTGGTCAAGTAGTTTTTGAGAATTTCTAATTGTTTATCCCAAAACACCAGTTTTCCGGCCATCGCTACTAGCTTATTGAGCAATATACAGGGTTAGTTCAAAGTGCATTTTATACCTTACCGATATGAATCGCAAACCATTCCGAAAGATAAATGTTATTTTTATGCAAAAAAAGAATGGGTTACGTTTTTTCTTCTAAACAAATTCAAATATGTCGTATTTGTGAGTAAATTCGCAACAAAAGATGATAGACACATCCGATTTGTTTTAAAATGTGTACAGTAACATATGTTTTTCGAATATCGTCGTAGCGCATTTGTTCAATTACTCACAAAACGAAATGTTTTGAAAAAAAAAACGTATCCTTTGTTTTTCGCATAAAAATAACGTTTATCTTTCGGAAAGGTTTGTGATTCATATCGGCAGGCAAACATGTTTATTTTGCTATAAATGCTCTTTGAACGAACCCTGTATATTGCTCAATAAACTAGTAGTAATGGCCGTAACACTGGTCTTTTGGGATAAACAATTAGAATTTCTCAAAAAACTACTTGATCAATATAATCCAATTTTGTGGTTATTATTTAGAAGTATGAATCCTACGGATCTGAAGAATTTCAAGTAGTTGCGTGAAATTATCATCGCATTACCAACAAGTGCCTGCATTGGTTTTTCGGCCATAACATTTTTGCTATTAGTCGGATCTTTTTACGTGTGGTCTCATTCTGTAGGTCTCATAAATACCTGAAAACACTTTCGATTGAATCCCCAAAAACACGTTTTTTGATTCTTTGTTGCCAAATAAAAATTTTTCCCGCAAAAATTGGTGTACCCATTTTACGCATCCACGTTTTAAATATCCCCTTGAACGACTTGCACCAATAAAACCAGTCTTCACAATTATTTCGGGGAAATTTGCTAATATGATTAGACTAAAACATGTTAACTTAAAACTAGCTTAGATGGACACGTTGTGAACTTGTTTTGTAGTTGTACGTGTTGCCTAAACGAGGCTTCAGTTGTCAATGTTTGATTCTGATGCGATGTAAAATCTGCTTCAGAGATGGCATGACTGGCGGTAACGGCAATACATTGGTGTATAGTGAGGATTTGTCTGCTAATAATATGTATCAAATACACTTACTTGAGATTCAACGCTAGAAATTAGTTGCGCATCCACTTTTTCTTATCCATTCTGGAAATTACACATGCAAGTTTGCTGAATTTCAAAAATGAGAGAGATAAGAAATAATTATATTAACTGTACTCTGTCGAATTACAAGTCATATACATGCCAACATTAATTACACACAACGCGGGCGCGGTAGTGATTTCCCGTAATTATCCCCAGGGTTTTTGAAAACACAAAAAAACGTAAAAAACCGTAATTGATAACTTTGAACAACATATAAATAACCCGTCGGGCACAGTTGATATACTTATTCAGTAATGATTTTCTCACACAACAAATATCACTGATGTGATACACACTTTGACCAATATACACAATCATCCAGATGTAATCTTGGTATTCAACCAAATAACCAACTTTCTTCTCAGATACTCAGAGATGAAAACTATATACCACTTGGCTTCACAAAACATATGCAACCAAGAATGCGTGTTTACGTGTAGTTGAGCCATTCCTCCATAGATGGACGCTCACAACGATCCTAGTGAGCAAAAGTGGAGTGATGTTTGCACCCTAAAAACTACCTAGTCTGCAAGATGACATCTTATATGTTTTTTTGACGTGTTTTTTTACATAATACCCGTGCCGCTTCTTATAAGCAGACATTTCTGTTTTAATTTGTAATATTGAATCAGAACTTAAAATTTGATAATATCTAGATATTTAATATACTGCTAATAGCGAAAATGCCTGAAATGGTACATTCGTAACGTTCTGACAACACCCGATTTGCTAGTATAATTATATCGCATGTATCATATAAATAGTTGTTGCGTGAAACATTTTCAAAATCATACCTTCCAAGTAAAAGTCAGTTTTGAAAACAAAGTAACCATATACATTATTTTATTTTTTACAGTGGAATAACTTAATTTTTGACAAAATGAAAATAACTTCGCCTACTGTAAATGGGCAGTTTCTTTAAAGAAAAATTGTATATTTATTACTTCTAATGGAATTACTGCGATCATGGATGTGAAGATGGACACGGACCTTGTTGGTTCTGTCTTAAATTCTAAGCTAAAATAAATTTTGCATGAATCAAGTTAATCTTTTCTGCATTTCTTCATACATTTCACGGCGTTGTCGATGATTATTTCAACATGTCTTGAGCTCCTAAGATGATAAGAAATACCAGCGTGAGAAAAAAACTAATTTCCTAATATTCTTTTCCAGGTCGGTGCCTCCTTCCACCTGACCAATGTCCAAGTATACGTTGTAGATCTAAAGAAATGCCGACCGTTCGGCCCTGGTTCGCCAACTGGCTTGACGCCGCCCTCGCTGGTCGACACGCGCGTCAACGTCAACGTCAGCCCGTTCGCTGCCAATCAGAGCGTGAGGAAAAGCTTCTCGAAGGCGGACCGACCGCCGTCGCTGCGTGAACGCCGCCCACCAGAGGTCAGGACGATCGAGGAAAGCACGTCAGGGACGGATCCGGAAGAGGACAATCAGGCGAATATTACGAATTTGAAGGATTATAACGAGATTTTCAGAGGGAGAGGTCGTAAGTAGCATATTGTCAAGCGTAATTGTCAAGTCAATGTGCGTGTTTTGTGCAATACAATTTTCAAATGTATGTGTACAGGTTGTCCAAAAAAAGTCTTACAGCGCTCTCAGGCTGAAAAAAGAATGACATTGTAATTCAAAGACATGTTGATTATGTAAAGCAATTATTTGATTTTGATTGCCACGGACAGGTTAGTCGTAATGCAGTATCATTATTTTTTCTCGCCCTCTTTAATAATAGCTCAGGGATGATGTTTTTGGACCGTTTGACTGTAAAGCTGGAAAAATGGGTTCTTGTTTGATACCAATGGAATATGCCGTTTTAAAGAGAAACACTCTTGTTTCAGTGCAGTTATATAAACTCTGATAATGCATCTGTAAATACCGATTCGAAATACCACATAGTATACATTTCTAAGTCACTTAGGCCCGTATCGTCAGTCGTCCCTACAATTGTAGGGCGCCTTTATGGCCTCCTTGATTGTCATAGTTTTCTACTTCTCCGTCTCAGAACTCTATTTTGAGGTTATTTCACAAACATCTATTTGCATCAAATTGTGCTTGCTTTTGAGTTATATCATGTTTTATCAGCCTGAAATTTCATACAATTCAAAAAGAAAACATATCTTCACAATAGGAGAGCGCTGACGCTGACACGGGACAAGTGTAATCTAGAAATTTTTGAAGGAGAGAAAGAAGTATGACAATCAAGGAGGCCATAAACGCGCCCTACAATTGTAGGGACGACTGACGATACGGGCCTTAGCAGCTTATTTCGGTTTGAGTATAAATTAATAAGCACAATAATCTTTTTTCTCAAGAATTCAATGATAAAATTATTAAAAAGGCAATTTGTTTCTTTTAGTAAACAGAACGCCACCTCCAGAGCCTTTCCAAGAACCCGAGAGGGATGATCCAGGTATGGCGCAAAATGAAATAAAAATAGACTAAGTGACATATAAAATGCAACACCCAGAATTATTTATTGAACTTTATTAAAAACTTGTAAACATACAGTAATGGACAAAAGTATATAGACAAATTTGAATATTTACCTAAATACTTCATTGCTCCATAAACAAATGCGTAATTAGTAGAAAAACTAAATTCCTTGTTTTTACATTATCTGCAATGAACACAATACAAATCTGAATATAAGCACTTTTTTATGAGGGACAAAAATATGTAGACAAATTCTTTTCAACATTAGTTTAGTACAGTTTCGTGTCAGAAGAGGATTAGTTTGTGTTCATTAAGTATTGTGGAATAAGTTGAGTGATTTTAAGACCATGCCGCGTGGTCCAGAAATCTCTTTCGATGTGAAAACTAAGATCATTGAGTTATACAAAGATGGTCAACGTCAAGTCAACATTGCCAAAAATTTTAACCTGAAGCGTAAAGCAGTTTGGGCAATATTGCACAAATATAAACAAAAAGGTACCTTGGAAGCATCTAAGAGAAGTGGTGGGCCTAGAAAACTAAATGCTAGATCAGTTAGATTAATAAAAGTAATTTCGTTCAAAGATCTGATTAAAACCCCAAGCCAAATAAAAGCCGAAATCGAGACAAGGAATTGCCAGTGTTTCTACGAAAACTATAAGTAGAAGATTAAATGATTTGAAGTTATTTGCACGTCGCCCGAGTAAGAATCCGCTAATCTGGAGAAAAAACCGTAAGGACCGATTACAATTTGCACGGTTACATCTTGATTGGAGCATCTGTGACTGGAAGAGGGTATGTTTCAGTGACGAATCCAAGTTCAATATGTTTGGATCAGATGGTGTTCATTAGGATAGACGTCCTAGTGGACAAAGATTGAACCCCAAGTACACGTTGCCCACTGTCAAACATAGAGGCGGGTCTGTTATGGTCTGGGGGTGCTTTTCGGGGTTTGGGATAGGACCTTTACATAGAATAGATTGCATTATGGATAAGTTTTTATACACATACATACTAAAGCATGTCATGTTACCTTATATGGAAGACAATATGCCCAAATCTCGCAAAGAAATTCTTTCTAGATGAAAAAATACCAGTTCACAAATGGCTTTCACAGTCTCCCGATATAAACCCCATTGAAAATCTATGGGAATACTTAGATAAGCAAATACGAGATAAAAATTATTCAAACAAGGATGAACTTTTTGCCGCTTTAGAGCAAAAGTGGAGACAGATTGATGAATCTTATATCAAGAAACTTCTACAATCTATGCCGAGACGATGCCAGGCGGTGATTGATAATAATGGTCATGCTACAAAATATTAACACAAACATGGTTGGTTTTCTATAATTCAATGAACTTTGCTTCTTTTTTCTATAATTGTTTTGCTTTGTCCTTCATAGTTCCAGTTTTTTCAATTAATTTTTTATTGAAGGGGGTCTAGTGGATTTATTTATGTATAAGTGAGTATTATGCTATAACGAACTATGTATACAGGTTGGTGTATTAATAAAACAAGTTAAAAAAAAATACCGCACAATATTAATTTGTCCATTACTGTATTTGCTATCATGGAAATATAACGCTGATAATTTTTTTTTGTCATATCAGGATCCGAACATGTTTACTTAATATTCAGTGATTTTTCTGTGTTGGTTCCATTTGTTTCATTGTTGATTCATTGCATTATCATGCCTAGAGTTCGCAGACTCGCTAATTTCACTGATCTTTCCGAGTTTGAGAGGGGTCAGATAATTCGAGTTACGAGAAGCCGGATTTTTTTTGAGAAAAATCGCTAATCGAGTGAATCGAAACGAAGCTACTAAAATGAGGTGTTGTCGAGCGTTCCAAGAAGGTCGAAATCGACGAGTTAGAGGTACTTTATGTCAAAGACGGACAACAGAGCGACACGGTAGTTTTTTGAGGCAACTAGCACTTGGAGAGCGATTTTCCATAACAAGGACAGTTGCGAACTAGGGGCAATAACGTTGAGGACAATTTATCGCTGAATAAGGTCTTTTGGACTGTTTTCATACCTTCTCCATCTTGTACTACCTCTGACCCCACAGCATCATCGGCAACGATTAGTATGGAGTTGGGAGAGACTCGAATGAGATGCGGAATGGAACTCAGTCGTGTTCAGCGATGAGTCCAGATTCTGTTTGGGTACACATGATGAAGGAGACATGGTGAAAGACAACGTCCAATATTCCATCGAACGAACGGCATATTCCTCGCACTGTGGATATTATGCTATGAGGTGCCATTGCTTACGGCAGCAGGTCACGATAGTTTTCATTCGAGGTAGCACGACTGCCCAGCGCTATATCCTCGAAGTTTTACAACCACATCTGCTTCCCTTTTTGGAAACGTTGCATGATCCACTCTTCCAGCAAGACAATGCACGACCTCATGTCGTACATGTTAGTTTATACTTTTTAGAAGCGTCTGGAGTAAAGCTGCTTCAGTGGCCTTCTCGATCTCCAGACCTTTCCTCCATCGAACATGTATGGGACATGATGCGAAGAAGGTTGTAAAATTCATCGCACCCTCCACAAACATTGGAAGCTCTACGAAACAAAATTGAGATGACCTGGGATACAATACACCAAGAAGACACCAATCACCTAGTCCAATCAATGCCGCGACGACTTAACGAGTGTGTAACGAACCGAGGAGCATCCAATACATTATTAACATTAAGGTGGGATATCTCGGCTATTTTGCGAAATTTCGAGTTAAAATTTTAATCACTTTCTATTTATCAGTAGACCTAAAACTTGTAAAATTATACTCAAAATTACAGCACTTCTAGTCGGTGTTGCGTTTTCTATGTCATTTAGTATACATAGAAACATCTTGTAATGTGTTGGATTCCTCAAAGTTATACACAAGAGTAATTGCTTCCAATTTTTGAGAAATTGGCTCATACTTATTTTGTCAACTTTGCTAATAGAGAAATACAAGCAATTCTTTTTCTTTCAGATCCCTCGGAACCGCAGATTTTAAGCAATATAATAAGTGATAACTTCGAAGCTCTATCTTTAGACAATAATATAAACAATTTTAAGAATCATCATGCTCCAGATACCAATCAGTATTCCAGATCGAAATCTAACCTTGACCAAGTAAGTATTCAGATATAAGAATACATAGACAGTAACTCCTAAACAATTAAAATAAATCGTAACAAGATAAAGAGGCAGCCATGAATTACTAATGGGAGTGTAAATTTAATTAATAAAAAAATCAACCGTATAAGGCTACAAAAAAATCATCCTGAAAACGCTCAGTTACTAAACGACTTTGAAACGTATCGCAATAAGCTAACCAAAGTCATTAACCTGGCAAAAACAATCTTTCTCAAAAACAATATATACAAAAACAAAGACAGCCCAACAAAAATGGCGTAAAGAAATACAATAAAATAAAACCAGTATCTCATATACATTTTGTGGAAAGTCAGACAACACATAAACTCACAATAAATGAAAAAGATACAGCGAATGAATTTTGTAAGTATTTTTCAGAAGTAAGGGAAAGACTAGCAAAAAATATAACACATCATGAAAAGTTTTAAAGAACGCGAATAAAAAATTCAATTTATCTGGCACGCTTGAGGTAAATAATATTTTTTCCAACTAAAGCTAAAAAAATTGCCAGGCCTTGATGGTATAACATCATACACGCTCAAACAAATCAGCAACAACATTTTAAGTGTTTTATCGTACCTCATAATACTTGCATAGACAAAGCTATATTCCATGACGCATTAAAAACAGCACTAGTAAAGCCACTACGCAAATCTGGAGAAAAGACACAAATTTCTAATTATAGACCAATCTCACACTAAGCATTTTCTCAAAGATTTTTGAAAAAGTTTTGAAGACCCGTTTTACTAATTTTATTGATAAATATAGACTTCTGTATAAGCAGCAATATGGTTTCCAAGAAGGAAAATCCACGCAAAATGCAATTGCAGTTTTGATGAAAAACGTGTATACCAGTCTAGTCTTGGGAAACCCATCGGCCTGTGTCTTTATAGATTTAAAGAAAGCATTTGATACAGTTGAACACAAAGAATTACTAACTACTTTGGAGAATCTAGGATTTCGTGGCAAAACACATACTTTACTCAAAAGCTACCTTACAGATAGGAATCAGTGTGTGAAAGTTAATAATTCCATCAACGACCTGCACCATGTAACATACGGTATTCCACAAGGTACAGTCTTAGGACCTATCATGTTCAACCTATATGTAAATGATCTTTTCAACCTACACACACACGGTAAAATTATCGGGTTCGCAGATGATACGGCTGTTTTTATAGTAAAAAATCTTGGAATATCTTAAAGACTCTTATTGAAGAGGATTTCAGAGTCATTATAAGCTTCTTCAATAATACAATATTAACAATCAATTATGAAACAACTTTATATCTGAGTTTTTCATGTGATGATAGGAACAGTCTCACATTCACTAACCTGCATATCAAATTACTACCCATAAATGAAGTAGTAGTCCTAAAGCCAGCAAATCATATAAAATACCTAGGAATCATAATAGACAGCCACCTAACATTGGACAAGCAATTAGAAAGCTTAACAAAGAGATTAAGATGTCTTATACCTAAATTTAAATTTTTCAGGGAAATTCTTTCTGATAAAGATGCTAACTTATGGAATTTTGGCATTTGGACCGGTGTTGAGTGAATACTACAGGAAACTAGAAATAACTCGGAAATGTATTCTTAAAATCATGTTCCACAAAACTATCACCTATCCAACTGATATGGTATATAATGTATCCAAGATATGTGATTGTAGGCAACTCTATTTTGAGAGTGTGTTCACATATATTACAAAACACAAGCATTTATTAAATTTCCTCCCACATGACCATCACACCAGATCCAAAGATCAGTACACATACCGAAGCCTAAAAAGGCCATAGGTCAGAGGAGTTTCACTTTCCTAGGACAGCATAGGCTCAAGATTCATCAAGCGATTGATATCAAAAATATCTACTACTACTAAAAGCGGAAATTTCAAAATGAAAAAAAAATGTATAAATCAAACTGATTTGAATTCTTACCTCCTGAATGATTGCATTTTATTACTTATTTTTACCAATTTTTGTTCTTGTCTACTCACCTAATTTTGTCTTTTGTTTCAATATTATCTTTATCCCGGTTGCGTCTACGTCTTTTAAAAATTTTACCAGGCCTTGTCTAATAAATTTAATATAGATATATATATTTTTTTGTTTTGTTTTTAGTCTTAAGTTATTTATATATGAGCTCATGCCCAAGCACAAGTTGCTGCGAATCTTTTTGGGTCCATTCGTTTATTGTATAATATTGTCTTTTATCTACTACTGCTATACTTTTTTTTTTAGCCATAAACTTTATTATTATTATAATTCACCAATAGAGTTCATATCATTCCATTTTATCAATTCGGTAACGGAATTCAGTAGCTTGCGGTAATGGTTTCCGTTTGACTTTAAAATCATATCAAATTACTTATTTTTGTCGCTCGATCGTTGTGTATTGTTGTAAGATCCAAAACGAGTATCGAGACTTCGTACGTGTATAAAATTAGTGATTTAAATATTTTGCAGGTGTATCATAGTAGATTAACGAAACAACAGCCCCCAGTGAGAGATCTTCCTTCCTCAGAAAACCAGACAGAGAACAATAATAAGAATAGCACCAACAAAAATAGACAATCCGGTTTTCGGTTGCAGAGACAAAGTAGTTGTAAAGATGTACCTGAACGGCCTGATAGAGCCAATGCCAAAACTAGTAGTATCAAACATAGTGTCTCCGAGGCGAATATTAACAAAGGTAAGGGTTTTAATAATTAGGTTGAAAGTTGCATTAGTTCATAAATGTTTCGTATGGTAATTGGAGGTAAAATTCCAGTTGGGTTTTCGGGCTACAACCACACCAACGCCCTTAGCAACAACAAAACTGGTTCGTAACCAATGCTCTGTTCCCATATCTAACTGTCTAATGTGTTAAAATCTATACTTTTCAGCTGTATATCTCAAAAACTAATTACGGTTTTACCTTCTAATTACCCGGCTGTCTCAGGAGAGTTATATTTTTTGCGCGTGTTTTTCATAGGCTACAGCGTAAACGGCTTGATGAATCTTAATTTATGAGGTTTATCTAGATTTGTCTTAGTGCGAGTGACATTGAGTATAATAGATTTTATAAAATCAAAATGACTGGTTTTAATCGAAAATTTCAACTTGAAACTTCTATTTCACGTGTTACAGCCCAAACGGCTTGATAGATTTTGAAATTTGAGACGTTCTTGTCTTGATAGCACAATTAAAACTTCATTCTTTTCAGTTACTGCAGTTAGATTTTTTTATTATGAGTCTGTACATCACGAAAAACCATGTCAGTCATTTCCGTCTGTGTCTGACTGTTTGTCAGTCTGTCTCTCTGTCCGCTAACCCTTGGCGCGAGAAAAACCACCGGATTTTGATGAAATTTTTACACAATGTTAGGACGAAAAAGCTTTGTTGTTTTTGAAAATCGGTCCAGTGGTGGCGGAAAATGCCAGAAACAACAAAAAAAAAAAAAGAAATCGCTCAAACTTGTTTTTTTTTGTCGTTTCAGAGGATCCTGAAAAAAAAAATGTTGATTAGCATATTAATACACTTCTAACCCCGATAATTCTACGCACCTGTTAGACATCTTTCACAGATCATAGATTTCGCAGTTATCAAACATTGTTAACAGTTTCACATCAAAGCTCCAAAGAAATGGGGCATCTACGTACACGCTCGTTGCTTCTGAGGAAATGCTTTTTCATAAAAGCCCAAATAGTAGTCTAACAGTTCTGGCAAAACCTAAGTGTTTCTGTTGCCATTGCACCACATGGAAAATTGTACTAGCAGTTGTTTCGAAGGCGCCAATTTTTTTTACATATACTTATTTTGCAGTAACGTTTTAATGTTACTAAGCTTCATATGGTCAGTTTTTAGATATGACTATAAACATTTTTTATAAAATGAAGTGATATAGATCAGTATGTCTGAGACGACGGATGTATCAACCTTCAAGCCAAATATTTTCAAACTAGGTCGTACATTTGCTTCAACTTTTGAGATAACGTTTTAATACCCTTCGAGTTTCGCATGATCAGTTTCGATGAAGCTTCTTATAAAACAGTACGGACTTGAAACGACAGAAACATATGTCAATACCACCATGAAGAAATAAAAATGCAGGCGTTACTATAGATTGCGATTTAACGCTAGTATTCATAGCGTTGCGTGAGAACCACAAAGTTAACCTACTTGACATCCGATTTACCGACATTTTCACATACATACAACCAATTATGTGCAAAACGATACATTGTGTTTGAAATCATGCGCAAACTGTGTCACGAACCTTGACTACCGCGTATACATCTAGTTTTTTTTATTACACACTGACATTGAAGACTTGTATAACTTGTCAATATATTAGTGTTTGTTCGTAGGATATGTATGCTTTACTGTTTACGATAGTTTATCAGGTAAATAAATTGATATTAACAATGGCCACTGACAGAATACATTAGCATATTTAGAAAGAGCTGGTTGCAGTATAATGGTTCATATGATAATGAGTATGTTATGCCGGAACCTACAGACTACAAAAAGTATGTTCACTCCTGGACCCCTATTCATGAGAACGAGAGAATACCATCACTGAGAGAAAGTGGGCGTGGGGAATGGTATCTGATTTTGGCAGCTGTTGAAATTTGTCAAACAAGTTTGTGGATTGATTCATTTTCGGCAAAACAATAGGCAATTTTAAGCGATAAACCGCGGTTATTCCTCGGTTATGACCTGGATTATTCTGTCATTTGACCTTCTTACACAGAACAAAAAACTCAGAACAGGGTTGATACGCGCAGCTGTTTTGTGGTCTAACGACAACGATTATAAATAGATTTCAAATATAAGTAACTTAGGTGTGATATTAACAATGTACCTGATTACATATATTGATATTAATTGGTCGATCCCATAGAAACTTAGTAGTTCTACGTCTTTTGCATCTGATATTTTTTTCCACGGATAGCTTTTAAGAAAAAATGTCAGTGACGACACAAACAAATGCAAAAGGCAGAAAAGAATAGGAAAAAGTTATGTTATATTTATGGGTTGATGTTTGACATACAAGAGCCGCATAGGATCCACCACCTGAGCAAGGTTATTATTGGTCTTAACTGTCATAAACGGTGACGTAGCAAAGTGCCAGTTCGTGACGTCATCATTTGACAGCTGTTACAAACCTTCACTTTTGCCCCCGAAAACCACGGCCACTTCAGTAATTCTATTTCCTCATGTCATTTGTTGAGTGATGACGTCAGCCATCAGTGCCATGCCATGCGTTGTCCCGCATTCTGGGAATCTGGTTGGACCTGGATTTTGGAAATTCAGTATTGTGTACAATTTCATGGATTTTTAGGATTCTGTAACCCCTGATAAAATTTGCCACCCTCCGGCAAACCGTGTTATGGCAGGTAAACTTTCACAAAAAAGTTGCTGATAATCGACCACCCCTTCCCCTAAGAGAAATTCCTGCGTGAATCCTTGGCACTAGCATTCGCAGATACCAGATGCTTTCTCTTAGTAATGGACAGTCTTGGCAGAGCGGTCCAATCTTTTTTTTTTGCTAAAATGGCTACTAACTGTAGTCACAGGTCCCTGACCGATGAAGAGATATCACGTGCTGACTAAAAAATAATTTATTCAAGCTACAAAGCACAAGCTCAGAACGCTTTTATAAATTCCTACTATACCGTGGGTTTGTTATAGTTGATACAGGCGCAAGTTTGGTGATTTAATCGGATAAATATGTGACATCCTATCATTTTCAATGATAACTATGAAAATATTAGCTGTTTTGAAATAACTTTGACAACTTCCACTCATGGCCCACCTAGGAAATTCTGATTTTTGAAGTAACTATGGTTTGGCAAAGTCAGTATATTACATATACGAGTACATTTTATTATCATGTGCAAAAATCCGAACACGGGAATAATAAGGGAAAAAATAAATATATATATATATATAAAAATAATAAAATAAGGGAAAATAAAGTTGATGTTGGAGGACAAGAGACGAACCGTCATATTGAAATTTAAATTTTGCCATTCTTGTAGAAGAGAAAAAGTGGTAAAATGATGATGTGCTTTTTATTTTAATTGTGAAACTTTCTAGTGCCATTTTCGTAGTTACCCAAATGCGCAAAATGGTGCGAATTTGAAACACCCGGTAGTGTGAAATTCCGCAAATAGTGTGGGTCTCTAATGGCGATAATATATACAAAGAGACTCGTCCTACAGTATATTTTATTTATCTACTTTCACAGAAAAGATCCTTACACTCGATACACTCCGTATCCAAAACCTTGTTCAACTTACTGTGCAGCTTCTGCACTAAACTGCTAGTGCAGCTTCTGTAGCTATCAGCAGCAGCGTCGATACCTTGGGACGGTGCACAATCACATAGACTTTGCCCTTTGCCGTTAGCTGCTTTGCAGCACGGACAGAGCTTCGGATAGTCTTGCATATTTTCCGATTTGCATTTGTGTCTTTCTGGCAGGAAATACTCGTCGTATGAGGTGCATATAGAGCAGTCGTCAGTGTGATCGTTAAATTTGGATGATGATACTCTTGTGAATAAAGGTTCATTTTTTGACGTGCAGTAACAGTGACATGATTGTTTCACACCATTTTTCTTAGTAGGTTCTAAGTCTGGCGCGTTGTTTTTACGTAATAAGAAGTCGTGTGAGACTCTTCTGTAGACGAATGGAGGTTTTTTGTGTTTTTCTTCAGTGAATGGTTTTTGTCCTCTGCTGTAAGCTACTGAATGGCAGACTCTTCGAGGAAGTTTTCTCGGGCTGTGTGGTTTTTTGGGGACTTGTTCGCAGTAGTTGATTTTGGGCATTGATTTAAATATTTCTTCTATTGTAGTTTTTGTACTTATTTCTAGTTTTGGTGCAATCGCTCCTGTAATAAAAAAGGATACATACAATGTTTTAATTAGAAGTTTTTTTATATACAGGTTGTTCCTTAATGATATATTTAAGGGTGTAAATCTACATGAAAAATTAATGTTAGTTTGCTTTATAAACAATGGTCCAAAAATGTTTCCTTACAAAAACTCGGGGTGTTGAATTTTAGTAAAAAAATGGAAATTAATTAATATTTTCAGAACCGCTTCAGATATTTCACTGATATTTAGTACGTAGTGAAAGTTAATAAAGTTGCATATTTTTCAATGCAAAAATAATTTTTAGCTTCAACAGTAGCGTGCGTACGGGTATTGACTTCGATATTTTTTAAGAAAAAAATGGTACGCCAATAGTTTTTTGCCAAATAAAAATTATTTTTGAATTCCCCGTTCAATTTAAAACAAATCATCTCTCTTGAGTTGCTTTCTTTCGATGCGCCATTTTTTAGTAAACAAATAAAAACCGTTCTATTTGCAAAATTATTATTCATTTAATTGGAAAAATTAAACACATTAGGGGTAATGAACAACAACTGACAACATAAACATAACATTAAAACCAACGAAATGATTACAAAAATTGTTGAAAATGGCCCCCTTCACTTAGTATGCATTCTTCCGCCCTCCTTCTCATGGAATTGCGCACTCGTTGGAGTGTTTTTTATTCTATCACAAGCTGCAACTATTCTTTCTCTTAATTCCTCTACAGTGTTAATGGGACTTGTGTACACTAGTGTCTTAAGATAGCCCCACCGAAAGAAATCTAAACTGTAGAGGTCTGGGGACCTTGGTGGCCATTCTTGGTGCCCACCGCGGCCAATCCAACGATTTGGATAAACAGTTTGTAAATAATTACGAACCGCTACACTGAAATGCGCTGGTGCACCATCATGCATGTACCACATATTGTTTCTTATTGCTAACGGAACATCATCAAGCAGCAAAGGCAACTGTTGTTGAAGAAAATTGAGGTAAGTCTGTCCGTCAAGTCGTCCCGGCAAGAAGAATGGGCCAGTAAAGTGGTTGCCAATAATTCCTGCCCATACGTTAACCGAAAACTGGTATTGGAAATGGGTTTCGGTTGCGGGATTTTCTTCTGCCCACAAATGATTATTGTGGAAATTCTGAATGGCATTTCGAGAAAAATTAGCTTTGTCCGTGAACAGAATCATTGATTCAAATTGCGGATTTCGTGTAATTTTTTGAAGATACCACTGACAAAAGGTCACACGCCTTGGAAAATCAATGGGAAGTAATGCCTGTACTCTTATAATATGGTAAGGATATAACAAAATATCCACTAAAATTCTCCAAACAATTTGATGACACATATTTAAGTGTCTAGCGATCTTCCTCGTACTCGTTTCAGGATGTTCTTCGACTTCGTGCAGCACTGCTTCCTCAATTTCAGGTGTTCTCACACATAGAGGTCTACTTTCAGATGTTCCTTTTCGGACAAAACCAGATTCAACAAGACGATGATAAATATTAGAAAAGGGTCGACTATCTGGCAAAGCACGATCGGGGTATCTCTGGTGATAAATCCGTCTGGCTTGCTCACCATTACCGTCGGCAAGGCTATATACGTAATGCATTTCCGCCATTTCTGCATTTGAATAATTCACCATTATTAACAAGATTGTAAAAACTACATAATGAAAAAAATGTCACAGCGAACAGATTGGAATAACAGAGACTTGTCAGATGTCAAAAGCCAGTGACATATTCCAGAGCAACTAGATATTTATTGCTAAATTGCATTCTTCAATTATTATATTAATTTTCTCGGCCAATAGAACGTTTTTTTTTTACTCAAAAATGGCGCATCGAAGGAAAGCAAATTGAACGGGGAATTCTAATCTAATTTTTATTTGGCAAATCCATTGGCGTACCATTTTCAATACCCGTACGCACGCCACTGTTAAAGCTAAAAATTATTTTTGCATTGAAAAATATGCAACTTTATTAACTTTCACTAGGTAATAAATATCAGTGAAATATCTGAAGCCATTCTGAAAATATTAATTAATTTCCATTTTTTTCCTAAAACTTCAACACCTCGAGTTTATGTAAGGAAACATAGTTTATAAGCAAACTAACATTAATTTTTCATGTAGATTAACACCCTTAAATATTCGCATATCATTAAGGAACATCCTGTATATTGTCGTTCTATCGATATGCTAACTATGCTCCTGTCAGTTCTCCTTTGTAATGCTGCCAAGTTCTAAACCTACCGGACGCATCCGCCGGGCTTTTCCTTCGAATTTTAAATCGAGAACTGGTCGGTACGACCGCTTGGCTTACTCCTACGAAATCGAGCATGTGGCAAAATACGCTAGATGTTTACTCCAGTTTACAGTCTTTAATTACTTCTATCGTCAATTAGCGAGGAAGTAGGGAAGGATTGCAATCGCATTTTTTTTCGAAAATGAGATATATGGAATCTATATAAAGGGAGAAGCGACGGCAATTTTGTTTGTGGTGTAAAAACTACCCCGAAACTTGACGCCTGGAGTACCAGCGGTGCTTTGGCCAGGTTGCCATGCTGGAGGATATTTACTTGGGGAATTTTTTGAGGATATAATGTTCTGGGCGATATCACACGTTTCGCGAAAAGAAAGCATCCCCATTCAACCCTCATTCAACCAAACCTACCCCTTCCTATTAATTAACTGTCACTTTGGGGATTTTTTTTTTTGAAAGTAGCAATTCTGAGAGTTTTTTGTGCTTGTTCTGTGGAAATTTTGTCGGACCCATCTGGCAACTTCGTGCTTTGACAGATCTGCCATATGAACAACAACAAATAGATTTCCATTTAAAACTGATTGTAAATTAACTCAACCATTTTTGTAAACCCTTGGGGTAAATAATCGGAAATCTGGTGGAAATTGTTGCTGTTATTTAGCTATTTAGAACTGTTAGAAAGCCTTCCTTTGTGCGGTGATGAATTGTTTAACGAGGGGGAACAGAAACATGTTCATTGTTTGGAATTACTGCTATTCTCCAAAATTGCAGATTTATAAATATGAAGTACTACAATTCTATTCTCTTGTGATACTATACTAAAATCGGGCAATCTCAGGCGTAGTATCCTAGAAGATAATTATAATATTGTCTTTTTCACGAGTATCCATTACGGTAGAATAATAGCTGAGTTTCTAATAATATTGCAAGTATTCCCCATATCGGCAACTTAGAGATTTTGCGAACAAATTTTGTTTTTATTGCGGTTGAAAATTGGGTGTTGGTTAGAACACTCGTACTGATAAGCTCTTTACCTGTAGACTACCTGTGTGAAGCATTTAATCTTTAGATGTAATTATATTTGCATCCATTACCAATAAGCAACTTTAAAAAATTATGCACCCTACCTGGAAATAAACTAGTAGGTTCCATCAACAGATCAGTCTCCTTTCCTTTAACGTTCCCTTTGAAACCGGGAGGATACAAAATATCATCTAAAGCAGAGTAGAATCTAGCTAGAACGTAACCCTCATCGCATGTCTTCCAATGGACCAACTCTGCATAGAAAGTTTCGTGGCTCAACGATCTCTGGAGGTCAATCAACTTCCTGTCTTTGTAGAAGGTTTCGTAAAAATGTATTTTTCGTTGCACGGTAAAGGAAACATCGGTCTGCAAAGCTGCGTTTGGATTTGGAATCCAGCATCTTCAATTGTAAGGATATCTTTCCGTTTGTGCACAGCCATACTCCTGGACACGTTACTCTGTATATTTCTAGTTCTACTTTTACCAAAAAGCCTTTTGCGGACATACCTTTTGGTTATTCTACCTTGGTACATATTTTATAATGGCTTGTATTCACCAAAATTTACTAGCATTTGCGGTGTACAGTGTAAAAAATGTATAAAAAACTCTAGGCATTGTATGAAATATAACCTTGCAATAACAACACATCCAAAACTGAAAATTTTGACTGGAGCTATCACCGCGACATTTTTCGTTGAGTAAGAAGCTATAGGTCGAAAGCTTGGAAGGTGGAATTAGGTTAGATAAAAGGGAGCATCTGATGGTTTCTATGGAGATGGATCGATTCAAACAATACAAACAGTGACGCAGGATGTGTTTCGGTCTGGTACAATTCACGGTTATCTTGAGATATGGATTTCATTCATTGAATTGTGACGCTACTTCATCATCATATATGGTGAAACAAAAAAAAAAACAGAATTTCAAATATTTTCCCTTCTATGAGTAATGCGATTTTTGCAGCTAAAACTGGCAACAAATTTGTGATTTTCGTACTCAATTTACCCAGGATACGGATTTAGTTCGAGATTGCAGATGCGCAAGAATTTTGGAATAGTTATTTACCTAACAGGTGCGGAAAGTGATACTTTTCCGCACGCAACGGCAGTTGCACGAACGGTTCGAAGCGGAGCTCGGGCAAGCCGTCAAGGTACAGGATTGGTACAAAGGCCGACTAGGCGATATAATTTTACATGTTTTCTATTATTCATTTTCTTTAAGCTAAGATATTGGTTAAGGAAGCAATAAGCTTACGTCATGGTTAAGTATGAATGGCAGTTGGCCAGACTCCGACCGTTTTTGTCACTGTAGAACTGTATGTGTGAGAATAAAGTCGACTGAATTGAAAGTTTTCAGACTTCACCATGATTTTAATTGATAAATTATTGCTGTAACATCTGCAAAGATAATCACCTCGCCTTTTGTTTAAATTTGGAACAAAACGTTCAAATATATAATAAATAGCAAGGGTCCTGGTACTGTGCCCTGCGGCAATCCGTATTTTAGAATTGTTTTATTCTTTCACTTGAATAATCTGATACCAGATGATTGTGGATTTCGACGAAATCATATTTTTCTAATGATTGAATCATTTCGTGAGCTACCGTGTCGAAAGCCTTAGTCAAATCTATGGAGATGCTTGAGCGTGGAATTTTTTATCTATGTAATCGCAGTATATGTTTACCGTTTTGTGTAGACATAAATGTCTTCTTAATCCGAACTGAGTACCTGAAAGAATTTTGTCTTTATCTATAAACGATGTCATTTGTTCTTTTAATAATATCTCAACTACATATACACAGGATATTAGTGATATAGGTCTCTACATTTTAATTAAATATTTTTCACCCGATTTATGTAATGGTATTAATATTATCTTTTCGAAGTACATATTAAGACACCCTATAGTTTATTGAATGGCACACATTTTTCTTTTCTTTTTTTTTCAGGAGGCATCAGTTCTCGGACCTCTTCCCGCAAGAACTCTTTTTCCAGACCAACAGCGACACGCAACTCCAGCGTTCCCAACGTGTCTCGGGTACCGGCCGCTCCTAGAGTGGCTGCCAAACCTCCCATCCCTCCTGTTGAGTTGTACCTGAGCAGGACGTCTCCAGAGAAGGAGGTGCCTGTTGACGATGAAGACGAGTTCGTACCGGTGTCTATTGACAGGCCCGTCGGTTTGGATCTGGACGATTTCCTACCTGTAAGTACTCATTTTTTTATTGTTATTTTTCTTTATGACTGTCAACGAATTCGAATAGGTCAGAAGGACCCAGAGCTATATGTTAACATTGCATTGTGTGTCGCCAAAATTGTGTAGTTTTAGTGCATACTTTTAGCTCATTTACCTGCCAGCAGTGGCGGCTCGTGAGGTAGTGCCACGGTGCCATGGCACTACCTTGTCTTCTTCAAAAAGAATATTTTTTTTCAATCTTCAATGTTTTACTTTATTTTCTGCTTTTTCATTTTTTTTGCTATAAATTATATGAAGTGACAACACTGACAACGTGACAACACCGCAAGCACCCGAACTACGCGAGACGGAAAACGGAAAGCACGCCTTGACCTTGACGTCATCAACTTGTGCCAATTTTGGGCCGGAGCAAATAAAAAGAGAGAAATTTTACTAGCATCGCATTCGAGCGACAGAGATAACGCTACCCTACACATTTTTATATGAGGTGAATAGCGAAAGACAAGTATAATTTGTGCCAGGCACATCATCAGTTGTAATTCGTTATCAAGTGATATCGGCGGTGTTTTTGTTCGGTCGGTCGTTTCGTTATGATTACGTCTAGTGCTGATTTCGGTCTTTTTTTACCTGAAAAGTGAAAAATACCTTTTTTGTTTTAGTACGTCTAGTGTTAATGAACTGCTCTGTTTTGTGATCATATTTTTTACTGTTTTATTAAAACTAGTGAAAATGAATAAAATCGGGATATTAAAAAACTCATTTAGTGGTTTTTCGCTGGATCAAAAACTGCAAATTAAAGAATTAGGATGGCCAATACCCGATTTAAAAATTGAGAAACAAAGTGGTAGCGGACAAAAATCGCGCTGTCGCAAATTTAATAAAAATGTGTACGATAAAAACAGCTGTATATGTGGTTGTGAAGAAACGAATAAACTATTTTGTTTTGTATGTGTTCTATTTGGAGGTGACGAGACTTGGTCAAAAAAGGTACAGACGATCTTATACATATATGGGATAAAATGAAGACCCACGAAAAATCTAAAGTCCATATGAATAATGTTTTTAGCTTTTCTATTCTTGGTAAATTAAATATAAGGACTCAACTCAATTCGGCTTATCGCAATGATCTAATTAAACATAATAATCAAGTGGATAAGAATCGATATGTATTGAATAAAATTATTAATTGTATAAGGTTTTGTGGAGCATTTGAGTTAGCCTTAAGGGGTCACGATGAAAAGGAAAATTCGGAAAACAGAGGCATATTTAAGGAGCTGGTGAATTTTAGCGCCGAATTAGACAACGAATTGAAAGTCCATATTAAAAGTGCCAAACTTTTCAAGGGTACCTCAAAAACAACTCAAAACGAGCTTCTTGAGTGCATGCTAGATGTTTATCATGAAGAAGTTAAGAAGGAGATTGCAAATTCTCCTTTTGTTGCAGTAATTGCCGATGAAACGACTGACGTAGCCTGTGAATTTCAGTTAGTTATTATTTTCAGATATTTGTGTAAAGGACAACCAGTTGAGAGATTTTGGAGATTTTACGTCCCCGACGCTGCATGCGTTTTAAATGTTGTAAATCCATTACTAGATCAAAATCCAAACAAATTAATAGCTCAAAGCTATGATGGTGCGTCTGTTATGAGTGGTGAATTGAATGGCGTTCAAAAAATTATTAAGGTAACTTATCCACTTGCAAATTATGTTCATTGCTATGCACACCAGTTAAATCTAATTATGACAAGCGCATGCTCTGTCAATAAGCAGGCTAGAATATTTTTCCATAATTTATCTGGATTGTGCTCTTTTTTCGACGTCTCCTCAAAGAACAAAAATTTTGGATGAAATAGTTAATTGCAGATTGCCAAGATCTTCCCAAACACGTTGGAATTTTCAGTCACGAGGTGTTCATACAGTTTATGAAAATAGGAAAGACCTGATTGAAGTTATGGACAATATAGAAAGTACTTCACGCGATTCTTCGTCGATTAATCAAGCCAGTGGGTACAAATTAAAGCTGCAAGATACAAATTTTGTATTTTGGCTAAGTATATTCCATAAAATAATGCCACATGTTGAAATTGTCTTTAACCAATTACAAAAGGTATGCACCGATTCTGTTAAGGTCAAAAATGATTTAGAGAATTTTGAAGCAGCAATTCAAACTATACGAGAACAAATGGATAGCATTATTGACGAGATTGAACGAGTGCAGAGAGAAACTGATGAACCGGCAAGAAAAAAAAGGCAAGTTGAAGAAGGCAGCAAAAAACGGGATGCGTTAGAAATATGCGATGCAGTATTATCGCAAATAAGAACAAGATTTAACTTTTCTGGACATTTAGTTGCTTCTAATTTATTTGTGTCTGAAAAGTTTTCTGTTTATAAACATCAGTTTCCTGAAGCACATTTAAATGACACATGCACACAATTTTCATTTTTAGACAAAAACAGGCTTAAAACTGAGTTACAAGTATTATATCAGAGAGAAGAATTGAGTACTACTTCTGGAGCTGTTCCACTATCCATTTTATTGAACGAGGAAGGATTAAATTGTACGTTTCAAGAAACTCTTAAGCTCTTAAGTATTTTAATCACTATACCGATGTCAACATCTGAAGCAGAACGCTCTTTTTCAATGCTGAAACGGATTAAAACTTTCCTCAGAAACACAATGAAGGAAGAAAGGCTTAGTGCTTTAGGAATGCTGTCTGCAGAAAAACATTTTGTTAGTGGCATTGAAAATTTTAATAATAAGGTAATCGAAAACTTTGCTACCAAAAAAGAAAGAAGAATGGACTTCATGTATAGAAAACTTTGAAGTTATAGGTACTTCTCCACACTTGTTTTATAATTTGGTGCGCGTGTGTAAATAGTTTTATTTTTGATTTTTTTTTGGACATATAGATTTATTGAACCTCAAGAACTTTGACCACTAACTATCAGGGGTAAGTTATAAGTTATTCTTTACAATTTTGAATCGATTCAAAATTATGGCTTCCATGCTGGCACTACCTCACTGAATTGGCACGAGCCGCCACTGCCTGCCAGTGCCTATCAAAGTGACAATCCAGTACATACGCATGAATTTTTTACTCTGGAGAGGTATTCGAGTAGCCAATCGTACTGGGTATACTCACGTTTAGCATGGGAAAAGACTATGTGTGTTGAGATGTGAATCGCTCAGTTATTGTTAGTAAATAGGAATAAAATGAATAAGACCAAAAACGAAAACAAATATTTATAAACGGTATACCACACACACAATTCTGCTTAATTCGTGATTTTGGAAGGTGAAAATACGGAAAATTTGATTGATCAAATAGCTAATAAAATGTAACGTAAAATTATTATTTATAACGTGATAGTATAGACCTTTAGTGAGAAGTTTTAGATTCAAAATTAAAGTAGCTGAGAGTCAAAGTTTAAGTTCCAGTTGGACCTCCTCAGTATCCATCAAAAAATTTGGTTTGTCTCCATAATTTTCTTTTTTCACTGTTGTTGTTTGGTATGCATTCCTCTTAACAATCCAGGTTCGGACTGAGCATTTAGAGGAACAAAAAGTTAACTGATATAAATCAAAATTGCCTCACAGCTATCCAGGTAACAGCTCAACGTTGAGATGCAACGCCCATAATATATTAACACTTGTCGATCGATTATTCACTTTAAATGTTTTTTTTTGCAGACCGAAACCTTCACCATTTTAGACAATCGCCTGAAATATTAGGACTGTAGGGAACCCACGCACTTTTATATATAGAGTGTCCAGTGGGCACTTTTTGATTTAAGAAAAAAAAAATACAAACCTGCTGAAAAGAAAATATATATTACTATCAACATATTCGTAAATTCGGCGGGTTTTGTTTCTTAAATATCACTCCGTCCAAATGTTTGCCATCCCTGCGGACACACTCTTCTAATCGCGGGCGCATATTCTGAAACACTATTTTGCCGAGTTTCTCGTTGAATGTTGCCTTTAAGCTCCTCCAGTGTTCGTGGATTATTGAAATACACTTTTGACTTAGATAGCCCCACAAAAATAATCGCGGCGTGAGGTCGAGTGACCTAGGAGGCCAGTGAATGTCTCCAAACTTCGATATAACTTTTTGAGGAAAAAGTGCTTTCACCGTCTCCATCGATTCTCTGGACGTATGGGCAGTGGCCTCATCCTGTTGAAACCATGTGTTTCTGTTAAATCGACGTTCTGTTCTTACAATAGGAGCAAAAAAAGTGTCAATCATGTCCTTGTATCGCTCAGAATTGACTGTCAATGCATGACCGTTTTCATCTCCAAAGAAATACGGCCCAATAATACCGCTAGAGGATATGGCGCACCAAACAATCACCTTTGGAATATGTAGCTGTTGTTGATGTTTCTCTTTTGGGTTCGTTGGTGCCCAATATCTGCAATTTTGCTTGTTCACATAACCGTCCAAGTGGAAATGGGCATCGTCACTGAAAACAACGTTCTCGGGTCTGCGCTGCATACGAAAAAAATTCAACACCGTAATGCTTCCGTACAGAACGCCGAGGATTTGCAATGACCGCATCACTTATTCGACGCAAATTTTATTCGGTTGATACAGTAGGTGTGGGGCCAGGAATGGGTTGACTAAGAGTAGAGCCTGTTTCACGGAACCTCTTTATCCACTTTTTTACTAGGTTCTTACTTGCTGCATCTCTTGGTCGGCGAATGTTGTATCGTGTACAAAATTTCCGAAGGGCAGCCGCGTATGAATCATTCTTAAAGTAAGCCTCGATAGCAAAAGCACGTTGTGATCCGGTCCAACGTTCCATTGTAACTATTTAACCCGCACGCCGAACGCGTCGATCAAGACCTTTCCCCACTTCCTCGCGTATACGGTTGCCGCGTAATTCAAATTTGAAATATGAACTTTCCCACTGGACTTTGTATTTCAGAACAGAACAATACATACATATTTCATGTGAAATGTTAACGACAGTCAAACTGGCGACTTCTACCTGATCGACTTTTGTCCTGACTACAATCAGATTTTGGAGACAAACAAATAGTGGACTTGCTCTTTCTACCTAGTCTGAATTGGTTGATGGCTATGAACCTCCTTGCCAAATCTAGTTCTATAACGCCATTGAGGACAATTGTACTGCCGTAGTATTGATATAATTAATTTTGCAGAAAAAACATAGGACTGTTATAAGTATACATTATTTGTCCTGCAGAAAAACCACACAGCTCCAGGCTTCCAACAACAATTAGCGAACATGTCGGAGGCTGAGGTGTTAGGCGTAATCATCCGAGGACACGAACCAACTACGGGGATCCTGAACAGCCGAATTCGGAGTCTGAAACTTGTGATAGCGCAGTTCCGGACGAAGGACATGCGAGCTGCCATCGACACCGCCATTTCCATTGACGATTTAGCCGTTCTGGTTGATATGCTTAGCATCATCAAGTCCAAATAGTAAGTTTTTGCCAACACGTACCTGTAGTGCCGTTACGTAATTTTATCGCGGGCTGGAACTGCGACTTATAGCCCTACCTTTAGTCGCTTCGTCACGTGACAGCTTAACAAGATTAAAAAACAAGCATTTATATATATATATATATATATAGGTGAAAAATTAAAGCTTCCGCCTTTTTTTGGGTACTTCGACAAAATTTAAGCAAAGAGGACTCTTTATACTTTTTTAATTCTCTCTAGCTTTCAATGGACTTTGCCATCATCATCAGGAGCTGCAATTACAATGATAACAGTAGCAACAAAGGTGTAAAATGAATTTAAATTGACTCAACTTACAGTAGTATGTGAGGATGTTGCTAATAGTTGTTTACGTATAGGATGAGGGAAACGTCCAGTAACATGGTGAGAGCTGGATAGATTGTACAGTAGTCAAACTTATATAAAATATGACAAGAACAAGTTAAAAACAGATTAAAAATTATTTAAAAAATTTTTTTTTAGCATTACATCGTGAAGCCACTTGATGATTGCACAAATTAGTGGTCATGGAATGATGAGTGACATGAAACCCTTTGACAGAAGGCCGAAGGATGTCAATGTCAGTATTGAAAGATGGAACGAATTGTGGGCGTGTGCCAAAACGTTGCCAAATCACTTCAGATGATGAGATTTTCAGAATTTTATGTTAGAATTTGTTAAACCGACCAGAGGCAGTTGAATAAACTATATTATTATTAATGGGAATTTAAATTAACAATTATTAATAAATCGCGAGGAGAGAATTATTATATTTTGAGTGGAATGAAATTTACTGGTGGAATCGGCCAAAACACAGATTCTAATTATGGTTGTGAAGAGTTGAAATTTGGGGAGATATGTAAGTTCTCCAATTTTTCGCAGTTTAGCAAATATGAGTAAATGACACTCAGTTGTTTAACATCTGTCTTTTTGTTGATACAGTTGTTATTCATGAAAATGTGGGACATTTCCAGGAATAAACGTTTGGAAAGGTGTTTTTCTTTATCAAGAACTTTGATACTTGTGTAATTCATAGAATGCCCTGTTGTGTTAACATGAGATGCTAGAGCGCATCTTTCAGGATGAAGCCTAGCATCACTTTTGTGTGATGTAATCCTTCCTTTCAGAGATCTGGAGGTCTGACCTATGTATATTTGGTTGCAATTGTTGCAATTGATGGAGTAGACTGTGTTGGTTAAGCCAAGCAGCGGGACTTTGTCTTTCATTTTTGAAAAAATGCAGTTTATAGTGAGGACGGACTTGCAAGCAATTCGAAAGTTCAAAGGACTGCACAATCTGATTACATCACACAAAAGTGATGCTAGGCTTCATCCTGAAAGATGCGCTCTAGCATCTCATGTTAACACAACAGGGCATTCTATGAATTACACAAGTATCAAAGTTCTTGATAAAGAAAAACACCTTTCCAAACGTTTATTCCTGGAAATGTCCCACATTTTCATGAATAACAACTGTATCAACAAAAAGACAGATGTTAAACAACTGAGTGTCATTTACTCATATTTGCTAAACTGCGAAAAATTGGAGAACTTACATATCTCCCCAAATTTCAACTCTTCACAACCATAATTAGAATCTGTGTTTTGGCCGATTCCACCAGTAAATTTCATTCCACTCAAAATATAATAATTCTCTCCTCGCGATTTATTAATAATTGTTAATTTAAATTCCCATTAATAATAATATAGTTTATTCAACTGCCTCTGGTCGGTTTAACAAATTCTAACATAAAATTCTGAAAATCTCATCATCTGAAGTGATTTGGCAACGTTTTGGCACACGCCCACAATTCGTTCCATCTTTCAATACTGACATTGACATCCTTCGGCCTTCTGTCAAAGGGTTTCATGTCACTCATCATTCCATGACCACTAATTTGTGCAATCATCAAGTGGCTTCACGATGTAATGCTAAAAAAAAATTTTTTAAATAATTTTTAATCTGTTTTTAACTTGTTCTTGTCATATTTTATATAAGTTTGACTACTGTACAATCTATCCAGCTCTCACCATGTTACTGGACGTTTCCCTCATCCTATACGTAAACAACTATTAGCAACATCCTCACATAATACTGTAAGTTGAGTCAATTTAAATTCATTTTACACCTTTGTTGCTACTGTTATCATTGTAATTGCAGCTCCTGATGATGATGGCAAAGTCCATTGAAAGCTAGAGAGAATTAAAAAAGTATAAAGAGTCCTCTTTGCTTAAATTTTGTCGAAGTACCCAAAAAAAGGCGGAAGCTTTAATTTTCACCTAACTGGTCTAGACGACAATGACCACGTCTCAAGTTATATATATATATATTTATAAAGAGAAAATGATCAAGCGGAGAAAGGTATATAACAAAAAGTAGGAAAATAATGGGCAAAATCCGCAAAAACGAGGAAAGTGGATTCGAGCAGAAAATAGGATAGGTAACCCGAGCGATACGTATTTCTGCTGGTTGGCTTCATCATACCCGAAATGAATGGACATATGAAACTACCAAAGTAGATACACATGCCCACACATCCGGATACGGGTGTAACCTGAGGAAACGAAGATGGAGAGGGAAAAAAACGACACACGAAGTCCACAAGAGCCAACCTACACATTGTAGTACAAAACATTTTCTCTTTGTAGATCCTTTGGGCTTGAAGTACCACAGCAAGTGGCTATAACCGGCCGCGTGGTTGTGGTTAGATGTCTGCTTGAAAATTCGAAGTCTTCTAGTCGTTTTGTACTACAATGTGTAGGTTGGCTCTTGTTGTGGACTTCGTGTGTCGTTTTTTTTTCCCTCTCCATCTTCGTTTCCTCAGGTTACGCCCGTATCCGGATGTGTGGGCATGTGTATCTACTTTGGTAGTTTCATATGTGCATTCATTTCGGGCCTGATGAAGCCAACCAGCAGAAATACGTATCGCTCGGGTTACCTATCCTATTTTCTGCTTGAATCCACTTTCCTCCTTTTTACGGATTTTGCCGATTGTTTTCCTACTTTTTGTTATATACCTTTCTCCGCATGATCATTTTCTCTTTGTAGATCCTTTGGGCTTGAAGTACCACAGCAAGTGGCTATAACCGGCCGCGTGGTTGTGGTTAGATGTCTCCTTGAAAATTCGAGGTCTTCTAGCCGTTTTGTACTACAATGTGTAGGTTGGCTCTTGTTGTGGACTTCGTGTGTCGTTTTTTTTCATCTCCATCTTCGTTTCCTCAGGTTACACCCGTATCCGGATGTGTGGGCATGTGTATCTACTTTGGTAGTTTCATATGTGCATTCATTTCGGGCCTGATGAAGCCAACCAGCAGAAATACGTATCGCTCGGGTTACCTATCCTATTTTCTGCTCGAATCCACTTTCCTCCTTTTTACGGATTTTGCCCATTATTTTCCTACTTTTTGTGATATTCCTTTATTTAGGTCAAGTATTTCTTTGTCGAGGAAAGTGTGGATTACCAATGTAGGAAAGTCCCTGGAATGGCAAATTTAATGCCATGGTGAAAATGAGTCTTTGTACTTTTTTTTATACTCCAACTACCACGAAGGCCTCAGGCCTAAACACCCATTGGGTACCGTGGGGCTATAGGGGGATACAGGGGGGGGACGCCACACGGACTCTGGCGAGGGAACACGTGTGCATGCAACATGATGCACACATTCTGGCTCCGACTAAGAGATCCGCTGGGTGGTACCTCCGCGTTCGACAGTCAGAGACCATCTACCACCTACGGACAATCACAACATCCATAGCCAAGAGAAAAATTTCTCCTGGGACGGGATTCGAACCCGCACAGCGCGCGGCGACTGATCAGGAGACCGAAGAGTCTACTACTGCGGCCACCGCTGCTCACTTACGGCTTACATTCCAATCTTGCATGTTTCGATAGATTCACGACTAGCCAAAGTATAACCATTTATTTTCTGTATCAGCTGCTAAAAAATTACTTACATACGATTTTTTTTTGTTTCAGCTCACTGTGGAACTTGGATCTATGCGTAGCGGTATTACCAAAAATGTTGGACTTGCTTCAAAGCAAATATGAAACGTAAGTATTACGAAAACTATATCAACATCAATCGTTTCGAATCGTGTTTTGATAATATGTGAATGTACAATAACAGCAGTTCAAATTACAAACCGATTTTAATCCCTCAGGTGATTTTCAATTCACCATTATAAGACTCAGGGGCATTTAGTTAATTTTGTTTTACAGGAGCTGAGTCTATAATTCTGGATTATTGATCGGCATATATTGTTTCAGGTACATTACTGTAGGTTGTGATACACTGAAATTAGTTTTAAAACACTTTGGACCTGTGATAAAAAGCAACATTCAAAGTCCTGTCGGATCTTTTGGTGTTGATATACCGAGAGAGGAGAGGTACCAAAAATCTGTCAAGTGTCATGAGATGCTCAGTCAAATAAGGTTTGTATAATTATATGTTATTTACTACAAAAATTACGCAAAATAATTGCGCAAAGTCAAATATAAACCGTGTAAATTAAGTCAAGTCTGGTTTAACTGTCCAAGAAAAGAGTTTAGGATAAGTTATAGGTCTTCAATTTTCCGTCATGGTAGACCCTGCACAAACGTTCTTAGATCGAGGAGAAGAACTAATTCCTCTGAACTACGATTCATAATATTTACCAGGAAAAATATCTTAGATTTCAAAGCTTCTTTTAGCTCCCACACTATTGTCGAAATATCATGTTTTTTTTTATATGACGAAAACCATACCACCCATTTCCGTAGATCGGTCGGTCTGTCTGTCAACTAACCCTTGGTTCCTCTCTAACTGACTGGGTACCCCTCCAATTTTAATAAAATTTTTACACAAGGTTGCTACTTTACCAAGGACGAAATAGCTTTGTGGTGAATTAAAAAAGCAGCTAAAAACTTTTTTTTGATGTTTCAGAGGCTCCTGATCATTTTCAGGGGTTAAACATTGATGGTTGGAGATTGCAGGGGGTGGGGGAGGGTATATCCCATTTTTTGGCGGTAGTATGTACGCTATGTGTGCAAAATCCTATCCGCACCTGACGGCTCACCGGTAGAACAGGCTTATTGGCTTGTGGCATAGCTGATTGGTGTAGTTCAGCAACGTTGCCAGATAGTCGATGCTGTTGGAAGGACAGAGAAAAAAATTTAGATTGCAGTGTCAAGTGGATCGGGACTAGAGACTAATTATGTAGCCCCATTTGATTGACTTGATCCATTTAACTTTCTTGTTGTACACTTCCTTAGCTAGCTTTTCTCTCAAAGGGGATAATGCAATCATTTGTGCACTGATGGCAGTATTTTATGGGAAGTGCATAGTCAACCTGGTTGACGTCCTTTTTTCAAACGAGATCCTTAATTTTCTTCTTTTCATTATTTAGTTTACCTTGATGAAAGAGAAGCCTTGACTATGAACTGAACTTCAAACAGCATTCTTAATAAACCTGTTTTTATCATTGCAGGTCTTTCATAGTGAAGAAACAGAGTTTACCAAGCATAGGAAGTTCGTTCCGCGAAGTGCACGAACTGATGTGCAACTTCCTGGATTGACGCCAAAGACTCGGACACGTGACAGGCGTCCTTTACAGAAACATCAGCGTCCAAGTTGGTGGCGGATGGTGCGGTGACATATCGCTCAGAAGGAGATTTCCATGACTCAGACGAAAGTAGAAGCTGAGTGTATTCTTGTCCACTGTTCTTTTTTGTCGCATAGGTAACTTTCAGCAAGAAGTTTACATCTGTCCAGGGCTATCAAATATGCCTATTCAAACAAGTGAAATGAACCGTATACTGTAGTCTAATCATATTACCAAATGTCCCCGAAAAAGTTGTAAAGTCTGGTTTTATTGCTGCAAGTTGTTCAAGGGGGTATTTAAAAAAAATATGAACGCCTAAAATGAGTACACCAATTTTTGTGGGAAAACTTTTTATTTGACAACAAAGAATGAGAAAACGGGTTTTTGGGATTCTATGGAAAATGTTGACAGGAACGAAAACACTTTTCATATAAGATTCTTAGGTATTCATGAGACCTACACGTAAAAAGATCCGGCTAATAGCAAAAATGTTATGGCCGAAAAACGGGGTAAAATGCAGGTTTTGCTTCTACACAAATTGAAACATTTCGTATTTGTGAGTAATTGAACAAATGCGCTACGATATTCGAAAAACATACGTTATTATACACATTTTAAAACAAAGCTGTTGTGTATATCATCTTTTGTTGCGAATTACTCACAAATACGAAATATTTGAATTTGTATAGAAGAAACAACGTAAGCTTTGATTTTCACATAAAAATAACATGTATCTTTCGGAATGGTTTGTGATTCATATCGGGAAGGTAAACACGTGTATTTTGCTATTAAATGCTCTTCGAAGGAACCCTCTATATTGCTCAATAAACTAGTAGTGATGACCGAAAAACAGGTGTTTTGGGATAAACAATTGGAAATTTTCAAAAAACTACTTGACCAATATACTCTAATTTTGGTCTTGTTATTTAGATGTATGAATCCTACGAAGAATTTCAAATATTTGCGAGAAACCATCATCGCATTACCACCAAGTGTCAAAACCTGCACGTTGCCTCGGTTTTCGGCCATATCTTTTTTGCTATTAGTCGGATCTTTTTACGTGTGATCTCAATTTGTAGGTCTCATAAATATCTAAAAATTGGTGTTAGACTATCGGACTGTCAGATTCTCACGACACCATAAGTTGAAAGTAGAAACTCGAATCTTTTTGCGGTATATAGGGCGTCTAGAATCAACTGCGTCCTTCTATTTGGCATAAATAAATCAAATGAGAAATAGTGACGAGACGTCAAGTGAATGTCGGTGTCCCCAAGTTAGGGCTCCATCAGGTCATTTAACTCAACCAAAAAACTAGTGAACACTATCTGAAAGTATCACAGCAACTTCTTCATGTTGGCAATTTTAATAAGAATCGAGCTAAAATGGTGGACAGGAATACCTCTTTATGGTGCTATGGAAGGGAGAGAGAGAAAAATCGACTAACATCTGGATGAAGAGGATACGACAATGCTTAAGGCTGTGGTATAAGGGGGAAGCTGGATGATTTGAGGGATAATACAAAGTGGGTCCAGGATGTATTGTGTACGAACTAAGACTATGCGAAACTTGAAACATTCGCGTGTCAATCTTCCGGCACATATTTTACAAACGAAGTAGTTTTTTAGCTAGAACTAAATGTTTTATCTTCAAACAATCAACAAATCAATTTCTAATCCTTATAGGAACGGATAAAAATGCAGAGCACTTAAAATAAAGAGAAATTTTATATGAATACATGGTACGACCACAGAATAGTTATACCAAGTGAGGCAGCTTCGCCTCGTAAGGAAGAGTATCGTAAAAAAGGGAATTTGTTTGTTATCTCACTGTTGAACTGCCCCACTTTAGTCGAATTATTTTAACTCGTAGAACTCGCACTATAGCGCGGCAAAGTTGCGAATCTCCCCAGATTATATCTGCTATTCTTTTCTTTCTCTCGTGCATATCGAACTTCTAACAAACATTTTTAATGAGAGGAATCAGGATTGAAGATAAAATTATTGTAAAGAAAACATGTAAGCTTACAAACATACACAGCTTCAAAGATTTTATCGCCAATGGATAAGCCTTCCACATTTATGCTTGTTACTGTCAGTGTGACAAGTTGCTTGTAATGGGCGTGTGATTTAAGTTCACCACTTGTTGATCTCAGTATTTATGTTTTGGAGAAAAATTTCAAAGAAAGTTAAGAACATGTGGAACCAACTTTTGACGATATTACATCTAAACCTAAGAAATTCTGAAATATTGTGACTCGTATGGCAAAGTTGTTTTTTACTGTTCTTATTCACTTTTCATTTTTGTCTAGGGTCTTTATGGTTTTAGATTATCTTATTGCTCATAAAAATTTAGAAGTTCCAACGTTTTGGCATGCTTGTAAATGTCAAGTTTCGCATAGTACTGTTCCTTGATTGAGTTTGTATTCGGAATTGAGAGGTTGAGATTAAACTGCATCAATGCTCTCTTAACGTTTTAAAACAAAAATGGTGCATGCGAGGTCTCAGCTGATATCATTCAAGTAGATTTTGGAAGATTTAGAAAAGTTTAAATTAATTTTAGTGTGTTTGTTCTGAGTATGCTGTTCATAATTTCAACAAAAACTGATTTAAGTAGCAGACATGAGAGAGGTCCCAGTAACTTTCCTGCTAATCAGACGTTGATCGTCAATAAGGTTTTCAGAGTCAAGTTGCCCTAAAATGGTGGTTTAACGTTAACCAGAAGACCATCACTGGCCTAAGTGGAAGTTATTTTGACGCGAAACGCACTGAACACAATAGCTGAGATGCAAAAGTAATGTTGTCGCTGCTAGCCGACCAGAACTTGAAAAACGAATTTTCGAACTACTGGTAGTTAACTTCCAAATAAAGGGGTAAGAACCAAAAAGATGTAAGTGCCGTTATGCTTGTCTGGAAATATTCAGATATGTTGATTATTAATTGTAAAATTTGTAAAAACATTTCATATGGGGTTTTTAACCCTCAACCTACCATGTGAGTCATCTGGACGCAAATCACAGACCACTAACTGGGCAGATAGTAAAACAAGTTATTTTTTCGAAATAATTTATTATTGTTATGTATAAAGCAATATGGATCCTACTAATACATGTAAAGGAGGAAAAACGGTTTGTTTCTAAATTGGTTTCTGACAACAACAAATATCTGGAAAACTATATCGTAACTTGACCTAATTAAACATGTATTCTTAAAAGCTCACGAAAAAAAACATTAGCGACCTAAGTAGGAAAATGTGTCTGAAACATTTTTTAGGAACCTAAGCTATTGAACTCAAAGGAAAATAACACTGAAATGCTCCTCTAGCAGAAACTAATCAACCGTCTTTTTTGCGCATGTATTGCATAGAGGCTTTGATCACTGCAAGCAAATCGCCCGTCTACACTGCACACAGAGATACTTTGTCTTGCGATCTTTTGCTGCAGGACACAAATAGCATGCTTTACGTGTTGTAAGCAAAAGCTCCCCTTCATTCTGTGTTTCGTTTGTTTCCGGTAGCCTCAATATTGCTGCGTATTTCACGAGGCACTCGGATCATTTGCTAGTCTTCTTTCCATATTTTATCGAACTAATTCAGCAGCCAGTTGTTTTGCAAATACTGATTTATCTTTTATCACCTCATTGTCTTTGAAAGCTTGATGTAAAATAAATGAATTTACAATAGATACATCAAGAATACGGAAGAATATTGCAAGCGGCCATCTACGTGTTCGCCGGCTTGTCGAACTTTTCGAGCATTTCTCGTCGAGTGTATCTACACCGCCTTTGGTCCGGTTATAAAAACAAATTATTTCTGGCTTTTGGGTTTCAGGGTCGGTGTAGCGCCTATTGTGTATGGAAGAAACTAATAGTGTTGCTTTTCCTTTCTTTCCCACATAAGAAACCAAAGTCATATCTTCACGAAATCCATACAACGATGATCCTTCTTTTCTTTTCTTGTTTGGTAAGAATTCTGTTGGTACTTCTCGTTTATTTTTCTTTAGTGTACCTACGGAAGTTAGTCCATTTTTCATTAGCAGGTCAACAAGTTCTATAGAGCTGAACCAATTGTCAGCAGTTATATTTCTGTTACTTCCGAAAAGAGGTTTTGCAAGACACATCAATGATTGTGTCGGCTTAGAAAATCTTCTTTCTTCTGCAGGCAACCCAAAGCCATCAGCGTATTTACCAGTATATATGTAGGCATTGTAGAGATAACTAGTTCTGGCGCCTGTAAGGCACATCACCTTTATCCCGTATTTACAGAGCTTATTAGGCATATACATTTTGAAATGGACACGTCCTCTGAAACTAACAAGCATTTCGTCAATGGTTAGTGACTCCTCTATACCATAACAATTTTGGCAATTTTCAATAAATTCATAAAATATTTCCGAAATTGCTGCCGCTGGGTCTTCTTTTTTACGAATCGATCTTGTAGCTGGGTCATCAAAACGCGAAGCAATCAAAAGATGCAAATCGATTCCGGCTCATTATGCTTTATTTAAAAAATCGCTTAGACCCCTTTTTTATTTTTATTTTTTGTAGAAAAATATTATTTTTTTTAACAGGTTTAGCGCCAGGGCACACACCGGTGTCTGCTGTGAGGTTCTCCGACTGGGCCATGGCATACACCGGTGTCTGCTCCCGCTTCGCAACTTTATCGGCTTGGCACGGCCAAGCAGACACGCTCTTATGTATTTCATTATAACGTTAACAATTGTTTTAATTTTTTTGTTACAAAAAGCCTTAAGTTGTGTAAGTGGTCATTTATTGTCATAATAAAAGATACATTATTTGCAGTGATCTAAAACAAATAATTCTAACCAGTAAAGTTTAATAAATTTCTTAAATTAAATCTAAACGGTATTCCTTCTTTCCATGAAAAATATTGAAGCAGTTCAAACAATATCTCGGATTACCTTCGCAAACGGAACAAAACGTAACTCTTTTCACCTTACTTTATTTTTTTTTATAACAACCTCTACAGTACTTTCTATTCTCGCGAGCTTTACAGTCCAATTTTGAGAAAATGTGAGTACAAAGATTTCGTGTAGGCTGCGGCCTAGGTATCGCTACATCAGGACTTTTGAATGTCAAAAGGTCTTCTATGACTGACATTCAAAATTCGTTTACTCGTATAGGCGTGACAGTCTCCTCATTGTGTTTAAAGAGAAAATGTGCATTTACAATCGATGTACCTATTATAGTCTCAATCGCCACCTTTTGTACCACCGAATTGTGCGACGTAGAGCAGTACTGTAACTTGACATTTGGTCAGATATATCAATTGAGGATTTCCCACGATTGTAATTAATTACGGCTTTCGGTTTGTGAATAACGTGTCCACGCCGTTGAACCTGCACTGTGTCATCGGTATGACAAGTAGAAAGGACAAGCACGTCTCTTTTGTCTCTCCATTTTAGAATACAGATGCCCCTCTCATTTTCTTCTGCAGTGATTTCACCTTTTCTCAGTTTTTTCTTTGTAACACTGACGGGATTTCCAGCACGATTGGTCCGCAAGGTGCACAAACAATGGGTCTTATTATCCAGGAGTAAATGAGCGAGTTGAAGGCTGGTATACCAGTTGTCAGTGATACAGATCCTGTCACTATTCAAAAGTTCCTGAGAGAGAAAGTCATAACAATATGTGAGGAGACTGAAAAATGTCTGTTTTTGGCTTGTTCTTTTTCTTTTCCCGCATAAATACTAAGGTTCCAAGTATAACCATTATCGCAACGCAACTTGAACATTTTTACCCCATATTAATGAGTTTTCATAGGGTTATACTGTTTGAAAACTAAGTGTCCTTGATAGGGTATCATAGTCTCGTCAATACCGAATGTTTTCCTGGCGTATACAGTATTTCGTATTTGACATGGGTTTAGCTAGTAATGGTTGCAGTTTGTACAGACGATCTCCATCTGGACAAAGTTTATTGTCTGAGAAATGCAGCATTTTAGCAGTAATTCAAATCTATTATGGCTCATTATATTACGAGCGACGTCATTTTTCAGTAGCCATTTACTAGACCAGTAATCTCAAAGACAATTCATTTTTACAATGCCCATGCCAATAAAATGTATAATTTTGGTCCTGTCTGTTGGCTGCCAAGTTTTTATGCGAGCTTCATTGCATATGTTATCGTTTTCAGTAACACATTGCGTCGCATAATGATTTGTTTGGTCAACAATCAAATCTAGTATGTCAAAATCCACTAAGGAAAAAAATATTGAACAGATTTTTCTCCTTTCAGTGCCACCTGCCATTCAACTTTCAATCCACTTGTGAAGGTTTCTGGAAATACTAAATTATTTCCTTGTACGGGCCCCCAAACTGATTGCGAGAGATCACGAAGACTGGGACCATCATAATTTTCTATTATTTCAGGATTACCTACACTTTCTGAATCTTCGTCTTCTTCCGGGTGATTTCCACTGGTTTGTAGTTCATTTTCTAATTCTTGAGAAGGTACGTTTGCCATTTGATCCTGAACAGTTGTATGAAAAGATCAAGATGAGTCGTAAAGTCTAGTGATTTTATTCGGTGGCTTGTAAAATGTTTCCTTCTCTGAATCACTACTCGAATAATCTTCGCTACTGGTATTTGGAACATATCCTGGATCAACGTCAGAATCTGCCGCAAACGGGTCTGATTCTTCACAGTCATTGGAAATAAATACATTTGCCGATCTTCCAAAAATTTTAAGTTTTCAATAATTTGTTCGTCTTTTTAATTTTATATGCATATAGTGGTAGTTTGAATCTAGATGAAATAAAAAAACATTAGTCCATATTTTGATCTAGGATTTTTTTATTTGACCTAAATTCTACCTATCACTACATACTTCTTTTTATCTCTCTAGCGGCTCAATAAGTGTATTGTAAAGTTACGTGTTCATAAGACAATGCAGGTTACAATACAAATAATAATAAGAAGAAAAACTAGAATAGTAAAAATCAAATAAAACTTACCTTCAGTTTGCCCCATCTGTAATGCTAATTGTACTATCCTTTTACTACGATTCGCCATTTTCGATAACAACGATGCGCTTGTTTATCCACAGAATGCTCGTAGCAAACTAATCTCTCCCTCTCCACTATATGTGCTATATTATTTGTCGCGGTTCGCGGAAGAGCTAATAACAGAACAAGTCGGTAAATGATTTTCGTCCGGTTTGGCGGGACTACATTGGTGCCTTACTTTCCTGTGAGGCCAAGGCAGACACCGGTGTCTGATTTCTTATCTTGTAAGGCCAAGGCAGACACCCGTGTCTGATTTACTATCCTATGAGGCCAAGGCAGACACCGGTGTCTTTCAGTTTTTCAAAAAACTGTCAAATAGAAACAAAATTTTATTAGTCAGGACAGGTCTAAAATGCATAAAGTTGGTAAAAAATGACAAAAAAAACATATTGGCCCGACGGTATTTTTTAGCCTGGAGGTCCTGGCGCTGAACCTGTTTTAATAAGAAAACTCTATTCCAATAGTAAACATTATGGAAAAAAATAATCTTCACAGTCAGAGTAGAGGTCAAGATCTTCATCATTATATTCTTCTTGGGCATTTTCCTCCATTACAGTTTCCGTCGTTGGCTTACTTTCTTTTGCATTTTTCTTCTTTTTGGGCTAATGGGCCATGTTTTGGTAAAAGTTATGATGTATTGGGGCTATAAAAGGCGACAGCTGACTAAGATTCTCCCACTTTGCGTATGGATGACTGGATAAAGGTGTTGGTTTAAGTTTTCTAGAGATAAATTTGGTCTACCTACTTTAAGTGAAGAAGACTTTTCAGAATGGAAATCAAGATGATTATTTGGATTCGTCGTCGTCTTCTATTTAATATGTCAAGTGTATGAAGAAAATACTCCTTGCAGACTCTTAAGTTCATAAGACGTAATACTGTTACAAAATTTTTTTGTGAAACCTCTGTTATTATGTCGCTTTACATTCGTTTTTCTTATACAAGATGCTAAATATTGCGTTTGCAAATCATACGTCTGTATTTAATAAAACCTGGTGAAGAGATTCATTACCTGCGCGTCAGATATTTTGTCACACTCATATCTGCAACGATAGTCATATGGTTTTAACACCTTTTTCTTAATCTTTTTTCCTTTAGTAGTCTCATACTCATTACCGCTTAATCTAGTCCGGTTTCTTTTCTGCTTCTTCCAATTACCCATGTCCGTCTTCCTTTTTCTCGTATTTTTTGGAGTCACTGTAATGAAAAGCAAGCATAAATATTATTGTTTGTTAGCTCTATGAAAATAACTTGCCATGAATACCACTAGCAGAAGGTATATTCTCCATCCCACTATTTTCTGATTCAACACTCTCTGTAGATCCATCGGAATCCTCGGATCGGTAGTATTCACAATCCTCATCTGCTTCGAAAGGGTCGTGTTCACTATTATCTCAAGCTATAGTGTACTCCTCCTGAAAAATATTTTAGGTTAGGTTTTAATTTGAACTCCTAATAACTATAACATTTGATACTATTTATAATTCGAAATTTACCTGATGCAGTCATGTCCAAACACTAGAAACTTAATATTACACTTCGAAAACCACACTAAACTTGCGAGTAACATCGTGGAACACTAACAATAAGCGGTCTAAGTAATGAAAACATTTCAAATATTTATGGTGGCATAACGGTCTATACCTTATTTCAAGAGTATCCATCACAAAAGCGACATATTTCTGTCAATTTGTAACGTTGGCAATAATGAATTTCGGGACCGTATTCAGAGCTGTTGTTCACATATCAAGATTATATTTCTAAATTGGTGGAAAATATGACAATAAAATGTACAAGTACAGATATAGAATAGTTTGTGTGTGTAAAAGTAATATAGACACGTGTTTTTGGTTTATTGTCCGTCATCAATGTAACGTAATTCAATTACAGATTAAGTATGTGCAGAACCTATAATAAAAATTAATAATGAATTCACCTTGTTCAAAATAACACACTGATGTAAAAGGAATTGGTCTTGCACAATACATCAACCTGCAACCAGATTGATAATGAATGGCTGACGATTTTCAATCACACGTCTTTGGAGCTCCCAATCTGCCATGATGAGCTTGTGTGTGTGCTCAACGTAGTGCACCCACTGCTCTTGAGTGACCGATTCAAGAGCAGATTCCCACTTCTTCATCACATCCTTTGCTTGTAGAATGTGCTTGTCATAAAATCGCTTCGCTTGACTCCAAATCATCTCAATAGCATTATAATGACAATGGTAGGGAGGCAATCAAAGGACTTCATAACCTTTCTCTTGAAGCAGATTATCCACAATATACTTCGTCTGCAGTTTTGGAAGTTGGTCGATAATCTCCCACAACTCGCTTTTAGTGCTGCTTTCAGCATATGGGATGTTCTTATCCTCCAACCATCTCTGCATATCAGCTTTCCGTAACTCGCAATATTCGTGCTTCATGACAATGTTAAGCAAAATAGATTAGATATTGCCGTGTAACTACAACTTTCTATTTCAATAGGACCTGGTCCTCTAGTTAAAATTAGTTTCCGTATAGGGTAAACCTAATATTCAAAAACGCTTTTTAGGTTTAACTTTCGGTTAGCAGTGAAATTGCAGCTAAGGTGCGACTGAAAAACTGGGCCTAGATTTTGTCATACTCATTAGTCTATTGAGCCTTTTATTGCATCATATAGAAATATTTACTCAAAATGCGTTTCATTTAAGAGACCATGGATTAATGATATCCATTCAGCATTTATTGCAATTATGAATAGCATACGTAT